TTCAGTCGCACAGTCGAGTCCGACTCTTTGCGACCCCATGGACCAGATCACACCAGGCCTTCCTGTCTTCCGCCGTCCTCTGAAGTTGGCTCAATTTCATGTTCGTTGCATCGCTGACACTGTCTAACCATCTCATCCTTTGCCGTCCCCGTCTTCTTTGACCTTCAATCTTTCCCAGCATCAGGGTTTTCTCCAGTGAGTGCAAACATGTCTTTCAAATGCCGGGAAAGATGCCTGGCTTTAAAGTTTGATGCGAACGTATCAAGCAAGCTAGTACTGTGAAAGGGTCATTATGGCTCCTGATTCTGCCACTTTCTCCAGATACTTGGTGACATATCTCTGCAGGTCTGCTATTGGTTCACTGACTTCAGCCTTTGAGAAGTTCCTGGTGGTGATGCACTGTGCTAAAACTGATGCTGCTTTTGGAAGAGCAGTTCTTCAGAGCCTGTTTCTTCAAGACGACCTGCAGATAACATCAGGTACATGGCTCCCTAGTCATCAAATCACCGCAGACTGTGACTGCAGCCATGAAATTAAAAGACGCCTGCTCCTTGGGAGGAAAGCGATGGCGAACCTCAACAGCATGATAAAAAGTAGAGACATCACCCTGCCAACAAAAATACGCATGGTCCAAGCAATGGTATTCCCAGTAGTCATGTATGGCTGTGAGAGTTGGACTATAAGGAAGGCCGAGCGCCGAAGAATAGATTCTTTTGAACTATGGTGCTGGAGAAGACTCTTGAGAGTCCCTTGGACTGCAAGAAGATCAAATCAGTCAATCCTAAAAGAAATCAACCCTGACTGTTCCCTGGAAGGCCAGATAATGAAGCTGAAGCTCAAATACTTTGGCCACCAAATGAGAAGGGAGCACTCCCTGGAGAAGACCCTGATGCTGGGAAAGATTGAAGGTCAAAGAAGACGGGGACGGCAAAGGATGAGATGGTTAGACAGTGTCATAGATGCAACGAACATGAAATTGAGCCAACTTCAGAGGACGGCGGAAGACAGGAGGACCTGGCGGGATCTGGTCCATGGGGTCGCGAAGAGTCGGACTCGACTGTGCGACTGAACAAAAAAAAAATACTGTTATATTAGGACCAACCACGTTGTCCTAAAACAGCGAGCAACCTTCCCAGTCCTCTCCGGAACAAAAGAATGTACTCTCTAATAGAAACCTCACGAACAGAGGACGGCTCGCTCTCTACCTGGAAGCTACCGCGGCAGCACTCTAACGCGCACGCGCACGCTCCTCGGGAATGGCCGGAACTCCCACGTGACGTCTCTGGGGGGGGGGGGGGGGGGAAGAAGAGGGAGGGTGCCGGCGCCGCCGCGCTGCGTTTCTCCCGGTCCCGGCCGGCGGCGCAGAGAACACCAGAGGAGGAGGGCAGGGGTGGGGGGTGGATCCATCATGGCGTCTATGCAGGTGAGCAGCCTGCGGCGGGGCTGGGTTAGCGTGTCCTTTTGCCCTGAGGTGGACCCGGCGCGAAGGTGGGCAGGGAAGGAAGCGAGAAGAGTGGCGCTGCGGTCGGAACGTGGAAGTCCGAGGAGGGGTTGGTGACGGTTGAAGAAGCGGCGTCTCTGGTTCGCTCGCTCTCTTCCCGTCTCTGCGCTGGTTTTTGCGGATGCGGGTCCGAGGCGGCAGCTGTGGGGACAGACTGAGCCTCGCCGGGAGGAGGACCTTCCCTCCCCCCCCCCCCCCCCATCACCACCACCACCTCGGCGGAGGATGTTGAGAATCTGCGGGTGGGCGAAGGAAGGGTGAGGCGTAAGCGCAGCCCAGGGGGAGCCTGCCTGCCCACCTGCTCGGGCTGGCGGAGAAGGGGAAGCGGGTTGACCTGAAGGGGCTTTGGGGCGCGAGTGGGAAGGGCCGCGGCAGGTAGGGCTAGTTCCAGGAAAAGCAGGTGCCGTGCCTGGCCCTGGCTGTTTCCTCCTAGGCGTGGGTTTGGGCTGTGGCTGCCTGGCCTGAGCTGGCTGGCTGGCAGTTGCCGTGGGAAGAGCCGCTCAACGGCCTGCTTGCTGTGACAGGTCTGTTCGCACCTTAGTGGCTTTGTGCGTTTAAAGCAAATTCAGCTTCTTTGGGGCTTAAATTAACGCCTTCCCTGGTAGGGTTGCTGCAGAACGCAGGGGAGAAAAGGGGGGGGGGCACCAGGTAGGGGTATGTGTGTGGGGGAGGACTGAAGATGAAGAAGGCGGGGGGGGGGGAGAGGAGGAGGGTCACTTTGAAAGTCAGGAAGTATGTCATTGGTGTTTTTCTCCTTTCGGTTTTTCGGGCATTAGTCACTGTATTTTTTTATTGCATTTGGTGAAGTGGTGGTGGTGTTGCAGTTCCCCTAGACTTCAAACTGTGCTGTGGAGAATTTCCACTTTGTATCTCATGTTGGCAAAAGCTCAGTGAGCATGCTGTTCCCCAGTGCCAGCTTACTTGACCGGGTTGTTGTAGGAGGCTTTGAGACCACAAGTTTGAAGCATTCCGAGAAACATCCTTGATAAACTCTACCTATAATACAGTATCTGTTGCATTTTGTATAGTTAATTATTTAAATTTATTACAACTTTTAGAAGTACAAGCTGGCCCATCTTAAACATCCTATGAAATAAAAATCTTGTCTATGAAAGCTCAGTGCCGCAAGTCATTGGTTAGTTTTTTGGGTAACACAGGCCTCTGCTTTTGGGACAGAATGACAGTTCTATATTTGTGTGTTATCCAGGCCAGTAAGGCCTGACCTGGATAGCCCAGGCTAACCCAATCCTGTCAGATCTTGGAAGCTAAGTAAGGTTGGCCCTAGCTAGTATTTGGATGGAAGACCTCCAAGGAATACCAGGGTTGTGACGTGGAAGCAGGCAAAGTCAAGCTATTTCTGAACATTGTCTTGCCTTGAAAAACCTAGTCACCATAAGTCAGCTGTGACTTGATGGCAAAAATCCAGGCTCATATTTTAGATTAATGTAACGGGTAAGCTTAAACAAGCTGAATGTGTGAAAAAGTAGGCTACTTATTGGGTGTAAACATTTTAAGAGTGAAGCATCTGAAAATTTGCCAAGGATGCTATCAAGAGTGTTTTGGGAGTAAGAGTGAATGAAACATTTGTCATCCTAAGCAAAATTATACCCTTCTAAATCAGTTGTAGCCAGTGGGCTTAGAACAGCATAACTCTGTTTAGAGTAGCACTGTAAGAGCATATAATATTTAACAATTCCTAACAGATTGGTGGACAGAAGTCCAAGGAGCTTGTTTATCTCCAGTTTGATTATCCAATCTGTTTTATATGCTGCCTTTCATGAAGCTGACTTGCAAATTGGATTGAAACAGAGAGAGTGTACTGCTTTTAAAACTCATAAGCTAGGAAAGTGACTTATATATCATGGATGGCATATAGAGTTGATGGTGGTCTTTTCTGAGGCAAAGTTTTCCTATTGCTCTATCCCTCTATTCCTCCCATACAGTTCCTTTCAACTTTGCTTTAGTTTATGTATTGCAGAATAAAACAAGGATCTCAACTGTATGGCCACAAAAACACTAGTACTACTGAAAGACAATTCTACTTAAGATAGTGTTGTATATTTACTGAAGTTTCTTGATCTATGCCTAGGTAAGTGACATTGATAAAGCTATCACAGCTCTCTTCTCATATTGTAGAGGCTGTGATGACAAGGGTATTGAACTTACTGATGTAAATATTCTTAGGCAGTTTGACCAGAGAATCAAAGGAATTCCTTAAGCATTGATTGTTTCCATCTATTTATATAGCATTACAAAGCATTCTTGATTCCTTGGACTAAGTCAATGTAGTGAAGAATTAATAGAATAAAATATTATAACAGTCTATTAGACCACTGGTGTGTCTTCCCAGTTGTACAGGGAATGCTTTGTAAGTTATTGATGAGGGTGGGCTAGAAGCCCTGCTGTTTCTGTTTTTCCACCGTGTCTAGTACACAACATTAGACATTTAGTGGCAATTTTCCACAAAACGGAAGAAGATGCATCTTCTGGTATTCTGGAGTTCAATATTTTTCATCATGTGAATCAAATTATTGCTAATGCTCAAAATAAACTAACAAAATTATGTTGGATTTTAATCTGTAGTACTGGCACACCGGTTTTGGGGAGAGCGGGCTATATATTGAATAAAATAAATAAAAAATAAACTAACTTCTGAGGCCAGTTTGGTGCAGTTTTTTTTTAATGTCTGTATTGGTGTACCATAAAGCTTACAAGATGGCCTTGGGCAAGGTTTTGTCTCTTGCTCTGAGCTGTGTCTCACAGTAGCATTTGAAGTACATCATGTTCTGTAACACATGGCTCTTATATGCTATTGCCAGTATATCTGCTCAAAATAACCCAGCATCATGAAAAATTTGCCAGTATCATGTTCTGTGATGTGCTAGTTAGCACAATAGTAATTATGCCCTAGCTAACTACTTTGTTTTTCCCCCCTGGTGATGCAGTTAGGTTTGGTACATATATTAAAGTTGAATCCATTCTTGAGTAAACGTTGGTATGTTTACTTAGGCTTGTGAAACCAATTCAGTTTCATATTAGTTGAAGTTGTCTGCTCAGACTTCACTGAAATTATTGTTGACTGAGATCATGTGAAACCCTATGTCCTGTGTGGTTATTCTTTTTAAAAGACTTCCTCAAAGATGATTTGTGACTGGGATTCAACATTTAAGTGCATGCATCCGGGAAGCTACTCTTGAACCACCCCTGAGTTTTTAAAAAACAGTTTGTAAAATGGCATTAGGGTGAAAGCAATTGTCTTCCTATATGATTTTCTGGATTGCAGCCATTATGTCAGTTATCCTGTAGAAGGCTGACTTTCAGAAACAGTACAGAACTCTTGCTCCCCCTTTAGGTCTCAAATTTGTACAAGTAATGTTTCTTCCTGTCTAGTTTTCAGGTGGCACTAGTAACAATGCTTACAACAGTGGTGTGATCAATGTAAAAATGTGCAGGGATGTGGGGACAATTGCTGCAGTTGAGATAGCCTTGCTGTGTGTTGGACTGCTTTGAAAATGAATGGTTCTTGGAAGTGTGAGATATTACTGTAGATGAGTAGTTCTATCCTTTAAAAAAGGTGCCAAAATGGATAAGGACTCATGCTTTAGTGAACCTGGAAATGGTAAACTTTGTTTAATATGGTTTGAAAATGATATATTTATTGGCATAAACTGTGGATATGTTCCTGTAATCCATCAACACTGTGTTTTAGGACCTCAGAAACAGTTGCATGAAATTACTTACCTCAAAATAGTATTTACATTTATCAAAGAAAAGATACTGGATTTTAGCAGACCCATACTGATCCAGTGTGAAGACTGGGAAAAAAAACACTGTCAAAGATAGAAAAGCAACAGGAAAAGTGTACATGGAAGTATGCAACAAAAGCATGAACCAGGTTGCTTCCGTGCCCTAGAAAATGTGGAAGATTGGATCCTTCATATCTGTTCTGCTAATGGCAGCACTTTCCTGTTGTGTAAGAGGCCCTCAACAACACAAGGTGGAAGGGCAGTCAAGGGAGACAAGACTTCTGGTGCTGGAGGGGAAGCACTATGTAAACCTTGTTTGGACTGAGTTTATGCCCCTATTGCACTTGGGGGGCAGGGCAGAGAATGCATAGGTTTTTTCTTCTTAGAATGTTGGGAACAGTGTTTGCTGATGTTCAGGTGACGAAGTAGAGCCGCTTACCACTTAAAGCTTGCTTTCTGTAAATTAAAAAAAAAGCCCTTTTGGGGTGCAGACCCCAGGAGCTTGCTGATTTTTGCCATTTGGGAGTACTCTTTTACCCTAGTCCGTATTATATATCGGGGCACAAAAATTTTAAATGTCTGAAAGTTTGCTAGTTTTCTAATGTATGCTTAAGACATAGTTTTTATTTCAAGTTGTGTAACTTCAAAACTGTAACTTTATAAAGAAACAAACCTTGATGTGAAACAAACATAGTTTGAGTCCAGTGGCACCTTTAAGACCAACAAAGTTTAATTTTGGGTATAAGCGAGAACTGAGTGACATAGCATGTGTAGTGAGTTAAGAACCTGATATCTCTGTTAAGGCCTGGGGGTTCCAGTGTCCTGAGTACATAAAAACATAAGAGAAGCCAATGCTGGATCAGGCCAATGGCCCATCCAATCTAACACTGTCACACAGTGGCCAAAAATACCAGGTGCCCTCAGGAGATCCACCAGTGGGGCCAGGACACTAGAAGCCCTGCCACTGTACCCCCCCAAAGCACCAAGAATATAGTGTATCACTTGCCCCAGACTGAGAGTTCATATCTGTTATGTACGAATCCTGTTTCCTTGCAACATGGTGCTGACAGAAACAGGGTGAGCTTGGGGAGGAAATACAATAGACCATCAGGATCCTGGTAGCCACCAATTAGGATGCAATGTTGTGTAAGTAGCCTATTGTTGGGAGTGGGTGTG